TATTTGAATAACCTAGGCATCAAATAAAATAAACTGTAGTGACAGTCTATTTAATTTATCTACATAATCTACACAGAACTCTTCAGCAGAAGACAGATAAGACCAATAAAATCTGATCTGTAGCCCACAATGAAAATTTTCTAGTTAAATTGAAAACTTTCAGTATGTGCAGTTATGTGCTTCAAGAAAGATTCATGGGAAGAAGATTGTAATCTTACTGAAAGTAAACAAGGGCAATCACAGTGCCTACAAGAGAGAAAACTAGACTGTTCTCTTGGGCTTGGTCATCTTTCCCAGAAAATATTATTTTTTGAAAAACGTATTGACAAATTATTACCAACACTTATAAAGACAAATGAAATCCTTGGAGGAAAGTATCATTTGAATCTGTTTTCTTCCTTTCTTCTTCACTATTATCATTTTTAGTAATACATATAACTTCTGCATTCATCCATTTCTGAAAGACGATCCAAACCAACCTTAAGTAAGATTCAATTCAATCTTCATGAATGGATCTATTGAGTTATACAGAATGCATTATAATAGAGTTAAGGAATTTATGACAGCTGCATACAGTTTGAGAGTTAGAAGATTTTAATTTTGTTAATTCAATATTATCTTTGTGTAATAAAAGCCTATTGTTTCATAAGCAAAACAGCAGACACCCAACAAGTTTGTCTTGAAGAATTATAAATAAAGTGTCTTCAAAGTATGGACTTCTCTTCTCCAAGCTGTTTAAGGACTACACCAGAGAAAAACAAAGCTTGGTATTCAAGAGAATTCCCACAACTCTTCAGTAGTCCACACATACTTTGAATGAAATCTCTTGACAAATTTTAATACCAGACAACTGTCTTACTTGTGAATTTCTTTCCTTCTAACCATTTTTAAAGAACCATTCTAAATCATGAAGACAATATTTTTGAGCTAACTTCTGATCTACATATCAGTATATCTTGTAAATTTTCTGCTAATTCTGTTCTATTCTTGAAAGTATTTGCTTCTCGTACATCTTTTTTTAAAATACATATATACACATTAAAACCTCTTCTTCAATAAACAATCATGTGAATAACATTAAAAAAACAACCAACCCTAAATATCTAGCATTTCTGTGCTAGAGAGTTTGGTTTGACTAGAGGTTTTATTTTGTTTCTTTTAAACCCAGTGATTAACCTAAACTTCATTTTTTTTTTTTTCCCTAAGCGTTTTGAAAGATAGAAGTGCAAGGGTAACATTGGACTCATTCAGCAAACTGAGCTGTTCTGTAGGCATCCAGCTGAGGAAAGAACAGCAGTCATGTTGACTAGAGTAATTTCACTGCTTTTCCATTAGGTATCCCAGCAGAATAGGACAGGCTGCCTACAGATTACTGCTGCAAAGAACGTGGGAGAGTTTTGGACTGCGCCCTAAATTTCAAGCAACTAGGCAACAGAGAGGACTTCGCAGATCTAACTAATCTGTCTTCAGCTTGGGGTAAGTATAAATTCTTATAAGTTACCCACTTAGAATATTAGCTCTGAAAATCAACTGTATTGTGATTGTAGGCTAAACTTATTCTGGATTACCAAGAAAGCATTATTCTATGTATTTCTAAGCCACATTTCAAGGGGACTGTCCTCTGATGGAATCTCACTGTGATGGGTTTATCCTTACTAGATTTTCAGAAAAGAGCAGCATTTCAGGCACAGACCTCTCCCACCTCTCTCAAATCTAACATGTGCTAAAGACTGTGAGTTTTCAGGTGTCACTTTTACATTAGTTCTTGTAGGTTCAGCAGCAATTGCAAAGTTGCTCCTGCCCTTTCATCCTGTGTTAGCTGGGAACTGAAGAGTGTGGATGTCTATTTCTTGGTAGCTGTGTATGAGGTCATACTTTAGGTACATAGAGTGGGTTGAGTCACCCTGCTACAGAACAGAAGCCGTGTACTCATTCAAGTGCATATCCTAGGATCACTGGTGGGTAAGAAATCTAGCCCTGGTCTTTCCCATGTCATCTGTGTTTTTACGAGAGAGGAATAATATGCACATAATTTCCCATGATGCTGACTATCTATTCGCCTGCCTACAGATCTTTCTATTTCAACAATCTCTATCCCTCCAATTTTGAGGCTGGGAAGAAAGAAATTGTACTGCTCAGGTAATAGCATTTTGCAATATAGAGTCAATTTTCTCTGAAATCCCCCAAAATGGGAGATGATGGGAAGGTGATTTTTTTTTTTTTTTTTTAAGGGAGCCAAAACATCAAAATAAAATGATTTTTATCCCTTACATATAGTGCTTTTCATGGCATGTTTCTTCTTTTGTGACTGGTGTAGTGTTTTAATGGTACTACTGGTTGAAGATTTAAGAATATTGAATTTCAGACAAACTTATAATACAACATATATATAATTGTAATATATGAATAAAGGAATGCTGTGAGATAAATACAATCTAAGACAAAGACAAGGAGATCTAGTACATGAAAGAAAGAAAAAATCTTTCCTGTGAAATAAGCCTTGGAAATAAATATCTTGCTGACATTTCTTTGTGTCTTATTCAAGCAGAATAAAACTAAAATTATCTAACATGCCTGTGGGCTGCCCCAGCGTGAACTGTAGAAATGTGGAAGGGATTATGTCCTAACTGCGTTTTCTTTTGCTTCTTTTCAAAGATACAAAAGCAGCTCATTCTAGTTTTTGATAAGTCTTTTGGTAAAATAAATACTTTTGAAGTAGAATACACTTTCTCTTAAATACTTTTTATGTGATTCAAGATATAAGTGAAGGGGCAAACGCAGCTGCAAATACTGACCTTGGAAAAACCATTAGATGAGCCACATAAAAATAGAACTATCATTTGTGGGGAAAAAAGCTATACATGAGTTTCCCTCTTAGGGCATTCTGTGCTGGAGCAATGGTATCAATATTGATGGAAAATATCTATTACTGAATAAAATTAGTTTTTTTTTCACAGCAGAGGAAAAATCTACTATCTGTCCTTTATAAGTAAATGTCAGTCTTTCTTTGTGAATGGTGGCAAGATGAGAAAATGAGCAACTCATTACAAATTGTCCAGTTTGCTTAGTGTTATATGGAGGTTTGCAAGGTCAGGAAGTTTAAAGAAATTCTGGAATTACTGAACATCGCAAATTCATAGTTGTACCAAATCCTAACTAACTTGACACTGGAAATTGTGTTGCTATGCCTGCGTTTTGTGAAATGTCCCACAGACGTTTCTCTCAGTTTCAGGGAGTTGTTGATCATGAAAACCTAACATGTTGATCTTCTAGCAGATATCTAAGTATAGCCAAAGCTGACATACTGCATTTTCTGCTTCAGACCAGGTAATTTGGTCATAGTCCCTATTTTTCAATGTCTGAAGTTAGAGGTAACATAGAGGTAGATGAAGCAACTCTTCCTTGTAAAAACAGGTTTGATCTTTCTTTGTAATTAAAAGATTTTGAACATCTGAAAATGAAGCAGCCATCTGTATTCTGTTCAGCAGTTCTTTTATGAGCATTATACTATTCTTTGTACTACCTGGTATACAGCAGGGAATTTATACTTGCTGCTAAACAATTAAAAACGAGACATTAGTGAAAAATGTTCTGCTGGAAAACACAGCAAGACATCCAAAGTGGTATTCAACTAACAAGTGTTCCTTATAGTACAGTCTATGGAAACTCAGGGCTCCTGCAAGGTATCTGTAGAGTAAAACAAATGCCCGTTTTCTCAAGAATGCTCAGTTTTTGTACAACCTCTCCTCACATGGTCTGGAAGAGACAAGTACAGATGAGTTTCATGAAGTTGTTAAAGCAACAGTTTTTAAAATTGTGTGTGTATCTATATAAATATGTATGTATCTTTCTTCAGTACTTAAATACTATGATACCTTCAGTGAAGCATAGTGATATATACTGAATATATCCCCAAACAGTATGTATTCTGATACATCTGCCTCATCTTAATCTCTTATTCAGTGGTATTGATCATAAAGATGATATAAGTTATTAGTATAATTATTCACTTGAGTGAATGTGGAATTTTGCTTAAATGCTGAATATGTAATATTGCCCAAAGTTCTTTGATATTTGCAGTGAATAACCATCTCTCATTTTTTGTCACAGCAATTTCTGCTGTCAGATTTAGCCATTGCCCTCATATGAAAGCCTCATTTGGCTGTTATGTCTGTTAGCAATGCTGTGTTCAAATTTTGCTTCCTTGCTGGATGATACTTTGTGTGGTCTTCCTCTTTGTACCCTAGAAGGTTCACAGCCCTTTCCAAGATTTTTCTAAGGGATATTTCAGTGATTTAAGGTCCTGTACCAGTAGAGAGGCTGAGGACTGTGTAGGTGGTATACCCTATATAGGATCATGAACGTATATATATGTATACATATATATATATATGTATACATACGTACACACACACACACACATATATGTAGTGTAACCTTTTACATTTCCTCCTTACAGTAAGCCTTTTCTCTAGCCATTTCTGGGATAATTAAGTAAAAACTACAGATACATAGCTCTAACATGTAGGTAAGTTGAAGAGCTAATGCAGGAATCTGAAGAGCATGGACTCAGCACAAATTATCTTGTTCCCATTGTTTTAGTATGCCAAATTATTTTTAATTTCAAGATCTGCACATAAATCACTTAATTTATTCTCATATTTTCCTTATGTTCTCCCATATAACTGTGTTTCTGTGTGTGTGAACACAGAAGACTTCACAGTGAATCACAATACACTTAAGCATCACGTAAAGGTAAACTCTACTGAATGGGTCAGTTTAGCAATAAATTTTGATTTACATGAAACTTTTTTTGTCTCCAGAAGAACGAAAAAAATCTTTTCCCTTGAAAATTAGCTATGTTTCACAGATTAAAATAGGTAATTCATTTCTGAAAGGTTGTTCTCCTTATGTCGTTAGAAAGGAGTATTTCTACTCCATGCCGAATTGCTGTAATCTCTTGTAAAGTATTCATAAGATGATACATTGCACAAACTTACAGCTTTCCAACTGCATTATACATGTTTGCACATCCATTGGAAAATTTTTGAGATCCATTGGGCAGGACAGTATTAAAGTCAATCTGAAAGAACACAAAAATATATTAAAAATATATCACAAAAACACTATAATTGTACAGGTGGAGTGCATAAAAGCAGAGGGAATCATTAGAAAAAGAAAATGTAGTTTTTCATTAGAAAGCTCTGAGAAGGGAGAGTCCCAGGAGAGATGTCTAACTTACATCTAAAAGAATGCAACAACAGCCTGCTTTTTCATGCTACAGTAGAATTATTACTATTATGTTGTTACAGTGTTTCAAATCCTTGACATTTACCCGTAAAATTTACTCAGAATTGCAGGAATTTCATTTCAGATGTCAGTTGCAAATTGTGCTGCCAAAATAATTTGTGTTATTGCTCTAAAATAAGGTGCTTAAATTGTCAACACAAAGATTTAAAATAACATTTCATGATATTAGTGGTAGACTACATATTCCTATAAGTTTGAAAGGTGGTTGTGTTTTGCATTAGCCATTATATCTCCTGTGAAATGCTTTGCAACCTATAGGAAAAAAGTATTTTTACATATCAACACAATAACTGAGGTGTTAACTGAATAATTTTAAATTTTTCAGAAGTTGTAATAGTTCTTAATTAAATCATGGGAGTTTAAGCATTCTAGTATCACAACAATATGGTATCCACAAGCATCATGGTCAACATTTGCTCTTATATCTTTAGTGTGGTGGTTTTTTTTTTTACCTCCATTTCACGAGACTGTGAACTTGGTCAGAAATCTATTAAAGTTGGTATCTGAGTTTGCTTCAGCAGAGTGCTTGTGTTTACAGTCTGTGTTGTATGTATTTGGAGAGAGTAGGGCAAGGAGGAAGGGTTATTCATTCAATCTGCCTATGTCTCTCAGATTGACTGAATCTGGAGATAATTGATTTAGCTTTATATTTTGCTTTGGTTGAGGGAAGGAAACCTTTTTGCTTTCTTTCAATATTTCTAGTGACAGAATATATGTTGTGACACTGAAGAATGGTTATGTACTTGGACTGGCATACTAAGCTCCTTTTGGATATGAAATATGTGTAAGAGCTTTAACCAAACTCTTTGTTCCAATGTAAGCTTGACAGTGTGATGCTCACTTGCACTGGTATATTCATACAAGTCACAAACACTGTATATTTTTGTCCTGGTATGCAAAGTATTCTTTAGAGTCCTGATGTCTCTTCAGAAAGTTTTAATTACCCTTTGACGCAGTATGATGTAAAACCAAATACTAAGTGGAAAAGAGATGTTATATTTTTTAAAATGAATATTTTTTTTCAAGTAGGCCAAATCTATACCATGACTATAACATTAGTATACTTATATAAAATTAATTTCCCATTTGATTACATTTTTGAAGGTAACTGTAAGAATGATTTTACTGCTGTTATAGTCTAATGATGTCTGTATTAATAAAAGTGGGGAGAAAAGAACTGGAACAATTGCATCTTGTCAGTGCTTAGATGTGATTGCTGCTTACAGCTTCTTAGAACTTTTCAAAAATTTGCTTTCCGCTTTTCTCCCCACCTCCTGCAGTAAGTGAGCTGTTCTTAAAACCTCACGCTTCAAGTGGCTCTTGTTTACATGTTGGACTGTGACTGCAATATCCAAAAACAGTGAAAGAGAAATTACATTGGATTGTTATGACATTGGAGGCTACAGTATGTAAAGCTCATACATAGATCTGTTCAGACTGTAATATTCCAAGCATATATATATACCATGTGCAAGAGTCTAAGTTCTTCTAGGCTCAGTATCTGTGATTTAAATTGGGAATGATGCTTTTCTTATTATTTTTACTAAAACTACTTCAAATTAGAGATATCTTTCTATTTTTGCATTAAAAATGAACAGTAATTATGATGAAATTCAATATTCAGAGTTCATGTTTACTTTAGTAATTGAACTGCATGACTAGAAACTGAAAATAGCTGTTAACAATTCTTAGATATACTTATGAACTTCTCTATGAAAAAAAATCATGTGATTAGAGACTCACCTGATAGAATAAAGTACATTTCCATTTTTGAAAATTCTTAACAACTTATTATCTGTTGTAACTTCATGAAAGTTGGCACCTTTTTCATTAGCAAAGAACAAATCTGGTTTCCAAATTGAATCCAGCATGGATGGATCTAAGTCTAAAGAGTCATCTGGATATTCACTGTATGCAAGACGTGGATCATTCCAATTCTGACGGAGAAAGATGTTCACTCGGTAATCCTGAATGAAAGAGAAAACAAGCAAATTTTATCAAGCGTAGGGATTTAGCTTTTATTTCATTTCTTAGCCGTGTAATCCCCTGTCCATCTGTGGATGACAAAAGAATTACTTAGCTGATTGTCAGAATGATACCTATTTGTATTAGTGAGGGCACAGTGGATAAGCATAATTTCAAGATAATTGAAAAAATCCGAAGATAAGGAAATCTGACTTCTATGTAGTCTGTATCATTCCACGTAACTTTAAGCTTTCCACAGTGTTTTCTTGAAATGGAAATGACAGAAGCGTGCAGAAAGTTTAATGGCATAATCTTTTCCTGCTCAACTTCCCTCTCCTAGACAGTGAGTCAGTCTATTCCACTGTAAGGGAACCTCAGTTCACATCTTCTCGCTCTAATCCTTACATATTTTAGACATACCACTTAAGTGTTTCTGTGCCTCAGCTCCCTTCTGAACAATTCTGTGAGAGTAGTACGTTTCTTTGTCTGAGGAGGATGTATTTATTTCTCTTCTGTTCAGATGTGGTAAAGAGTTTACAAAGGCTACTCTAAAAGCTATACTTCCTATTTGTTCAAGTTGGCCCATCACATCAGAGGCAGATGTTGTTAGAGGGTGGCAGTAGGGATTGAACCTTCCCACCAGTATTCCATGACATGTTGTTGCTGTGTGACAGATGGCAGCAGAGCAGCTCTCTGACAGAATGGCGACTGAATGGAAGTGCGCATGAAGCAAAGGTGTGTCACTGAATTCCTCCATGCAGAAAAAATGGCACCACAGACATTCACTGCTTGCTGAATGTTTATGGAGACCAAACAGTGAATGTGAGAATAGTGAGGTGCTGGGTGGTGCGTTTCAGCAGTTGTGATAGCAACAGTGGAATGAATGGATTTCTTATACAACTAGGGGCTGCTTATTAGGTGTAAAACAGAATAAATGAACATATAGCAAGAAAAGGAAAATAGAGAAAGATAAATGGAGGAATCTATTCCATGTTATGTAACATTGTCTGTCAATTTGCCTAAACTGAGTCAAAGTAAATTGTTTTAAATTGTTTCCAAACATTAAGGTGAAAAAAATCCAATTTAAGTTGTACCGAAGCGATTTTTCTTTCCTTCTTCCCTGAAGTCTGTCTTAAATTGCCTCTCATTACCAAAAAAAAAAAAAAAAAAAAAAAAAAACAAGAAAAACCCTTGATCTATTAAAAAGATATACACTTGAATGCTACCGCATGAAAAAAAAGCATTCATTGATTTAACTTGTAATTATACCTTGTGAACACAGTAGTAACTTGCTTTAAACAAGTAGGGTTGTTTGATGCCAACACAGTGAACAGAATTAAACTGCCCAAATTGATTTGCTTTCCTGCAAGAGGATTACTACATCTGTGTGCTACTTGTACAGAGGGGTAACTCCTAACTCAAATTATTCTGTTCTGAGAAGGTTCTTTTGTGGGGGGAGAGAAGCCATCATTTAAGCTGTGTGATTTCCTTATGACCTCAAGGCTGCCATTATCAAACAGCTGCTGTGCCCTGGTTGTGCAGAATGAGGCTGATTTCTGGGTCTGCGCTTGCTCCACTGTCTGTCAAAACTCACATTCACAGAATGAACTTTCTTATATGGTAGGATATTGGTCATCTGCTTCACAGGCACAATAAAATTTACACATGGACATCAAGTGGCTGCTCTTTGCTATTTATGTTGAGACCAAGACTGTTATTGGCTCCAGTAGAAGTGTTTGATTAGCAATTTCCAGCACACAGTGAAATCTAAAATATTTACAGAATATTTTGATTTCTTCTTCTTTATACTGATACACGTAGAGTTACATTTCCCTAGTACATGGAATGTGGGATACTTCTAGATTCCAGAGACATATATTAAAACAAATTTCCAAAATATGCGCTTTATCTGAGTAATTCAGATTACCTGCTCTTGTAATTTTTGAATGCTGTCATTTGGACCAAATCAGCACATTTTCACATTGTGTAAAATCTAAATTTGTCTTTTGCATAATGAAGTCAATTGATACTTGCTTTATTTGTTCTAGGTCACTATGGAATTTAACATGAAAATCTGTACTTTCCAAGAAAGTTGCTAAGTGTAAATACAATGCCTTATGGGAAATGCCATTCTTTTGAAGAATATTTAAATTTCGACTCATTATGAATTTCAGTTCTTGTCAGTGAAAGTTCTGCCTTGAAAAATACATAAGCTTCTTGTGAAATCATAAAAATCACATACAAAACTGATGTATTTGCTAAAGGATGAAATACAAAATGTAAAGACTCATTGGAAAATGTTTTTATAAATTAATTAACTACATGTATTGCAAGTGCTTGAAAATCAGGCCCCATCTTTCTAAGTTATATGTGTGCATAGGGCAATAGGTTACAATGGTTATATTTCTGCCTTCCTAGGTTTCTACATCTGTTGCTAACAGCTCAGTTTTACATAATGCATTTGTTATTCTAATTTTGATGTAATATTATGGTGAAAAAAGAAATACAGGACTAAGTCCACCACTGGCATATAAAATGGAAAATGTTTATTTTTGGAACCAGAGGAATGCTGCACACTCCACTACAATACTGACCTTGTTACCATGAGAGGAGAGTAAAAACCTGTTTCCTTTTTTTTTTTTTTTTTTTTTTTTTTATTTTTCACTTTCTCATATGAGCTTCCCCAAAATATGCTCTGGCCATAAACACTGTGGCTAAGCTTTAGGTAGCCAAATTACTTTGACTAAATTGATTGAGTTTCCTTAATTCTCCTTTGCATATCTGAAAATTTCAGACTGGCCCAAAAGCTTATTTAGCTAATGATTTCAATATGTCTTTGATGATATTTCTCAGGTACAGAAATTCAAGTATTTAAATTTAAGTAAGCCCCTCATATCAGTAGGTCATTTTTCTTGCAGGTAACCAATATCATTGCAAAATCAAAAGAGAAGACCCTTTGCATTGACATCTAAGAAATGTAAATATCAGTTGTATCAAAGAACCTGAAGAATTCTCTTGTCTTTTCTCCTTCTTAGTAGTTGAAATTCCATGATTGCTGAGATTATTTCTGGTAAGGCCTCATCTGTAACCATGCATGTTGAAAGAATAGAATAAGTAGAACATTCACAAAAGAATGCTATAGGACCAGAATGGATAGCCAGTACTGTGAGAGGAAAAAAGAAAACTTGATTTCTCTAAAGTGGTAATGCAAAGCTGAACAGAAGACTCACTTGCTCTCCAAAATAAGTTGAGGAGATACTAGAGGGGGAAATCAGTTTAAATTAGGGACAAAAATATTTATGACAACAAATTTAGAATAGATGGAAATGGCTCATAATTCAACTTATTCTGCTAATAGACATCAGTGATCTTTTCACTGGTATGATTTATTATTGAAAAAAAATGGGACTCCTCCCTACTTTTAATAGGTCTTTCCAGTATTACAGGTCTGAACTGCAGCAAGGCTAGTAGCAATCTATGGATGTAGGACAGTTCAACTAATGAGTGATAAAAAAAACTGCAGTAGACTCCATGCTCCAGCACTAACTGCAACCCATTAATCTGTCAGAGATTTACAATAGCAGCTAAAGAGAAATTAACCATGATCGCTGAGTACTTAACTTTAATTGACACGTCAAATCTGTGTCAGAGTAACAAGATCTGACTAATGTCAAACATCCCTAAGAACATGCTTTTCTGTACTGAATAGCTACAGGGCATTCATTACAAGAAGCAGTGTAGATACACTGTTGCATATGATAGTTTGTCTGACTCACTGAATCTTTTTGACTATCAGTCTTGTAATAATTCTATGATTGAAATGTTATTTCCAGAATGGATTTGGGGAATTAATAAAACTAAGGATAATTTTCCTGCTCCTGGCATACAGAAACCTGAGTCTGGGAGAAACTGGCATATTTTTTCCTCTCTCTCTTAGTAAGAACTCTGAATTTTCCAGCACTGGAGGATTCTTCCCTCGTTAAGAAGTGTCTTCATATTCCTTAGGAGGAAGACACTTTCCTACAGTTTTCCTTGCCAAGACTATGACTCTTAGGCCTTTGCCTTTATGATTTACTGTATGAGGTCAAGTATGCAGTTCCTTATGCAGAGATGGAGAGCTTTCCTGTCTGGTCCTGCCTCGAGTTATGTGGCTAAGCACTTTGTTGGCAATTCACCTCTTTAGATCTGAGCCCTCACAGGCTGAGGATGAGCAGTAACACCAGTCTGTTCTTGGATAAAAGCTGTAATCCTACAGTAATTTGAAAATGGTGGGTGCCCTTACCCTCTCCATTAAATAGGACAGGCCAGATGGTTTGAGGATTTGGGTGAAGGCTTCTCAGGAAGCTTTAGCTATTCAGAGCTATTCAGAAAAGATTATTGATGGATTTTGGATCACGATCTCTCTCTTTCTCCATCCATAGGTGTATAAAACCAGATTTTAAGCTATTTAATGTTTCAATTTTTCTGAGGTTTTTTTTTTTCTTTTCTTTACTATCAAAACTGCCAAGTGTCCAGGTATCCCATTAATAATTTAGTAAATATTTTGTTTAAATTTTATCTAATTCTTTGCAGAATTTGACTCCAATACCTGGCCCGCAATATTCATATTGAAGTCAATAGAACTAGAACTCACTTGTTGAAGAACTAGATGAAACTAGGACTTTGAAATTGCTGTTTATAGCATCAGAACTCTTAGATTCCTTTTCAAAATTGAAATTCAGAGTTCAGTGCACTACTCATGCACCAAATATTCTTTCTAAGTTTGTTGCCTGCTTTCACATCCGTGGATTCTGAAGTAATAAGGATACTATTAATGTTCTTCCTGGAACAAATAAATGTAGCTTGCTTGCTTACCTGTTGGATTGGAATCACTTTCACCATCACTACTAATGGTTTGGAGCGTGTTAACAGTCCTGTTACTACTCTTGTTCAGTCTTCTCCTTACTAAAAGCATGGGTAATTTAGAGGATGCTCATTAGTACAGAGCTTTGAGTCTTTGTAA